ACTCTAGGACAGGGGTGGGAAACCTTGGCTCTTTTAGGACTGGTGGACTTCAACTCTCAGAATTCCTGAGCCAGCCTGGCCCAGCTTGGAAACTTCTCCCTTTCCCCTCAGCATGGCTGGCTCAGGAATTCTGGGAGTTGAAGTCCACGAGTCCTAAAAGAGCCAAGGTTGCCTACCCCTGCTCTAGGACATTGTGGGAAATCACAAGTCAATTATAGGCTTGCCCAGCAGGGGGCAGCACTTGACTGTTCTTGGTCAAGCCTGGTTGGATGTTGTAGAGTCAGGGTTAGGATGGAAAATTGAAAAAAAAAATGCTGGATGAAAGCTGTGGAAAAAAAAAAGCTCTAAAAAAACACGACACACTCTGCTGAAAATTTTGTTTTTTACCTCTTGCGTAGAACCAACATAATTCTATAAAGAAGCATTGAGATAGGTTCAGATACAACTGCCTAGATAGAGAGATTAATCAGTGTCTTCTAATATCTATTCAATAACTTCACTGAAATAACCCCGGGGGTATATTCATTGCACCTGACTTCATTTGTTTAGCACAGGAAATTATGTCTGGTGAATAATTACGGATAGTCCCTGACTTACAACCGTTTGTTTAAAAAAAAACTAAAAAAAAAGTGACTTATGACCACTTCCCACATTTAAGATCACTGTAGCATCCCCACGGTCGTTGTGATAAAAATTCAGACACTTGGCAACTGATTCATATTTACAACGGTCACGATGTCCTGGGGTCGTGTGACCAGCGTTTGAAACCTTCTGATAAGTATAGTCACTTCACAACTGTGTCACTAATATAACAGCTGCAGTGATTGACTTAACATACGTGGCAGGAAAGGTCGTAAAATGGGGCAAAAGTCACTTAAGCAAATTTCTCACTTAAATAAATCAATCCTGGGGCTCACTTTCTTGACTTACAACCTTCACTTAACAACGGGAGATAGATAAATAGGATTCATTTACTCTTCCTGTTGTAATGAAAATGGGTTTTTTTGGGGGGGGGTTTGGCCCATTCAGTTTGTGGATTGTGTGTTTCTGCTTTTCCAGGTTCTTGACCTACTTCCCTGGCAGAAGGATCACCGCTGAAGACGGCTTAAAGCACGAATATTTCCGTGAGACCCCACAGCCCATTGACCCCTCCATGTTTCCAACGTGGCCAGCCAAAAGCGAACAGCAGCGAGTGAAACGGGGCACAAGCCCCCGGCCCCCAGAAGGGGGGCTGGGATACAGTCAGCTGGTAAGTTCATCCAAGGAGGGTAGTAGAGTTTGTATACAGCAAAAGGGTGTTTACATCCTGCTAACAATGGAGCGATAGCCAGTTTGGTATCATGGGCTAGAAACCAGGCGAATGGGAATTCTAGTCTCATCTTGGGCACAAAGCCAGCTGGATGACCTTGGGTTATCACCAGGAGATGGTGAGTTCTGGTTCCGCCTTCGGTATGAAAGCAACGTCGGGGTGACTTTGGTGGGCCAATCACCGGGAGACTGGGAATTCTAGTCCTGCCTTAGGCGTGAACAACGGCTTGGTATCTTCGGGCCAACCATCAGGATGATCTGTAATGGGGCAAAACTCGCTTAACAACTGACTCACTTAGCAACATAAATTCTGGGCTCGTTTGTCGTCGTAAGTCGAGGACCACCTGTATTTACACACCTGTCTTTTTGCCTTCCCAGGGTGACGACGACATAAAAGATACCGGTTTCCATTTGACGACCACAAATCAAGGCGCGTCGGCTGCGGGACCTGGATTCAGCCTGAAGTTTTAAACGGAGGGGCACGATCTTTCGAGAGGAGCCAGACGGAAAGGAAATTGCGTTCTCTGGGGGAATGAAAAAGCATCGGGCTGCTACGCTGATTACTTTTTTTTTGCAGAATATTCTCTGCAATTGGGACCCTCTTCTGGATCGAAGTAGAGAAAGTTGGATTCCTTTTTAAGGATTGGAATTAATTCCAAAAAAAACCAAGGACCCTTTTTTTGGGGGGGAAAAAACCACCATCGCCATCATGAGAACAAAAATCCCAGCTAACTTGAGGAACTATTATTTTTCTTAAAAAAGAAAAAAACACCTTTTGTTTCTATTTATGTTTTTTTCCCACTCAGATTAGTTTTGGGTTTGTTTTTTTTCTTGCTTGTACATATGTAGAATAAAAAAAGAAGATGATTTTTAATTGTTTACTCGGTGCAAATCACCTTGTTTTCTTTGCTCCCTTCGATCTTCAGTTTGGTTGTGTTTTAACACTTGGTGCATTTTCCTTCTAGCCATCCCGCGGTTGGTGTTGTGGCTTTGTGATTCCTCAGCCCAGGAAGAAGAAAGATATGTAGAAAGGAAAATACCATGCCATGTTTAACTGCTCTCGGGCCTGGAAAAAAATTCAGGGAAACCTGACAAGGATGAACGTCCCACTTTAAAAAAAAATAAAAATAGAAAGTTAAGTCTTTAGCCTTCTCTTCAGGTCTTAAAAAGAATTACCCGCTTGCTGAATTGGATGCCTGGTTTGAAAACGTGCTGATATGTTACTTTAATCCAATTGCAGACATTTTGCATCAGATGCTGTGAGAGAGAAAGAGAGAAAGACAGGCAGAGGAGAAAGAAAATGCAAATTGTGATAGCATAGTTTGGCCTTTTGAGATGACTTTGATCTAACTGTTAGCTTCCAAACGTGCCACCAGGTAAGTTAACTACTTTCAAGATCCGTGTTTCAAATGCACCTGCCTGGCCATAAACCATTCAGGCCAATTTTAGGCAAAACTTTCTTTCAAGGGCCAGCTGAGATTCCTGATTCCAAACAGTTTTTTTTTTTAAAAAAAGAAGGGTTCCAAAAAGAGACGATTTGCGTGTTGAAGAGAACGGATTGAACTTTGAAAAGCTGTCTGAATGCAAAGACACTCGAGCAGGATTGATTTGGGGTTTTATGAATGCCCCCTTCCTCTGAGGAAGGATCACGGTAGCCTGAAAACTGCACATAAACTGAGGGTGCTACTGCACTACACAACACAAAACAGTTGCTTTAGGGTTTTGAAACTTCATACATTTCTAAACTAAAAATGAATAAACATGATATCCTTTAGCGGCGAGTTCTAATGGTTAAGTTCTTCCCCTTGTGCCTTAAGTCGTGTTCTCAAAACCGGTTGTTTCGTACGTATCTGCAGGCAGTCCTCAATTTACAACCGTTTGTTTAGTGACTCTTTGAAATTAAACAGCACGGGGAAAAGTGACATGATCGGTATTCGCACTTGTGACCGTTGCAGAATCCCCAGGGTTATAGAATCAGAATTTGGGCTCTTGGCAACTGGGATAAATAATAATAATAATAATGATAAAGTTGGAAGGGACCTTGGAGGCCATCTAGTCCAACCTCCTGCTCAGGCAGGAAACCCTGTACCATTTCGGACAAATGGCTGATCACCATTTGTAACCACCTCAGCTGGTTTCCGACATGCAAAATCAACGGGGGAAGCCAGATCCACTTAACAATCGCACAATTCACTCTTAACAAGTGTAGTGATTTGCTTAACGGTGGCAAAAAGGTCGTAAAATGAGGCGAAACTCACTTAACTGCCTCACTTAGTAGGAGATTTGGGGCCCAATTGTAGCCGTACGTCGAGGATTACCTGTACAGTATTTTAGGCTGAACTGCTGCATTGAAAATTACTTTCCTCCCCCCCCTCTCCTTTTGTGCTTCAGGACAAGATGAACAGAACATTGCTCAGAGAGCTTATCAGATTGGAAAAGGGTTGTATAAAATGGAACTTTTTTTTAAGGAAGCATTGTCCACATTGCAATTGGTGTAGCAGTATATATATATATTCATCTTAATGGCAATCTTGTAAACACTGAAAAGGTAAGAAAACTGTTCTTGTGTACACGCTGGCACGTTTCTCTGTTTCCTCTGATGCACACTGAGGTTGCTGTGTAACAGTGACTATATACAGGCAGTCCTTGACTTACAAGCAAAACTGGGACTAGGATTTCCATTGTTGTTAAGATTTGATGACCTCTTTTTGCCCCAGTGTGTTAAGCAAAGCACACTGCGTCAGTCAAGTGGATCACATTGTCGTTAAACAAATCCAGCTTTCTCCCATTGGTTTTGCTTCTCGGAAGCCAGCTGGGAAGAGGGGGATCCCAGGATCCTGGGAACTCTGTAATATGTGTCAGTTGCGAAGCACCCAAATTTTGATCGTTTCCCTTTTGAGGATGCTGCAACAGTCGTAAATGCCGGTTGGTTATTTCAGTATTTTTGTAACTTTGAACGGTTGCTAAATGAATGGTCGTAAAACAAGGACTGCCTGTAATGTGTTGACAGTGTGCTGCAAGCCACCTCTGGCGTTGTCTGTATCTGGATGACAACAACCCCCCCCCCAAAGTAACGAATCTTAATGTGTGTTTTCTCCTGTCTTTGGTGTTTATCATCCTTGCCTTGGATGCAGCCCAAAAAATTGGATTAATTAGATTAGGATTCTGCTAACCAAAGATTAGAGTAACTATGAATACAGTCTCTTTACCTCTCTGTGGCGCCTTCTTATATAATAATAATAATAATAATAATAATAATAATAATAATAATAATAATAATAATAATAGTTGGAAGGGACCTTGGAGGTCATCTAGTCCAACCCCCTGCTCAGGCAGGAAACCCTATACCATTTCAGACAAATGCATGAGGAATGCCTGACATTCTCTAATGGGAGTGATTAACCTTATTTTCCCAATAATGTTTAGCTCTTCCAATGTTTTATGAACATTGTTCATAATGTCTAGGCTTTCTTTGTGTATGACAAATAGAACTGAATCAGTGGTGTCGCGAACCCATAACTCAGTATTGTTTCTCAAACTTGGCAATCTTAAGACGTGTAGAAACTTCCCAGCCAGCTAAATTTCATTGCTGGGAGCTAATAAGCCTCAAACACATGTCCTGGCGTGTTCTGATTATATGATCATGTCTCATAGTAATACGGCAAGCGTACGTGTTCACAAGCCATAATAAATATCAGTACGGAAATGCTTTATTTGAGCAGAAGGACAAAAAGGGTAAATTTCTGGTGAAATTCCTTAAGGATCAACTGTCCTGTACATTTCCAGGAACTATACCTGAGCTGGCAAATTCTTTCTGTTGACCCAAGTAAAAAAAAAAAAAAAAAGTGTAACAGATGCAAAGGTTGAACGTAGGAATTTTTCTTTTAATCCTTCCTTTCTTGACGTGGCTCCCTAAACAGGGCAGAAAATCTAGCTTGTAATTTGGAAAGAGTATATGATCTCTAATCTTACGTAGTGCGTGAAACTTAAAAAACTGTTTTGTGTAAGGTCTGTTTGGCTGAAATAACGCAGCCCAGGAATTCGTGATATGCCGGGATCTTTTTACTGAATTGTAGAATAATGAAGGCCTTGGCTAAAATGTTCTCTGCACCTCTGTTCTGAAGAGATCCCAGATCCCTAACCTACACTATAAGATGTTTATTGTTGGGGAAAATTGGAGGAGGGATGTTATATATGCCATCTTGAATGAGAGGAAAGTAAAAATTTAATAAAACAACCTCGATGACAAGAGCACCAGGATCCAGATTGTAGCAAAATGTAGCTGAAAATATAAGTGTAAAATGGTTCCTAAAGAATATTAGCAACTTTAAAAAAAAAAAAAGCATTTCTTTTAGCTCATGTTGTAGCCTATTTCTCCTCCTCTTGGACCCCTTTATGACTTCGACTATATATCCTATCATCTCCAGCAGGCTTGGCCAAGAAAAAAAAATGCAAGGAAGAAATCAGTATTTCCGCAGTCTCCTTCTGGAAGGGGACAACCTGGGAAATCTGGGTTTTGTGACTACGGATCGGTTGTTAAAAGTGGAATACGACAACAGAGGTGAGGAAGTGAACCCACACAGAGTGACTTGGGGGGGGGTGTCTGTAAGTCCTTGCAGACCGTCCATGTTAACGCTTCAGCCTGACTCTCCAAGAATATGTGGTCAAGACTTTGGACTTCTTCTTCACGATGCACGTATACGTCCCTTCGTTGATGGCGTTGGCGATGATGCTCATGTGGTCGCCATTCAGAAACAGGTAGCCAGGATAGGAATATTCTAGCAATTCCTTCTCCTTGTACCAACTGCATGGAAGGAAAGGAAGGAAGGAAGGAAGGAAAAGAAAGAAAGAAAGAAAGAAAGAAAGAAAGAAAGAAAGAAAGAAAGAAAGAGAAAGAAAGAAAATGATCAACTGTACAAGGTTTAGCCCAGGGGTAGGCAACCTTGGCTCTTTTATGACTGGTGGACTTCAACTCCCAGAATTCCTGAGCCAGCATGGCTCAGCTTGGAAGCCTCTCCCTTTTCCCTCAGCATGGCTGGCTCAGGAATTCTGGGAGTTGAAGTCCACCAGTCTTAAAAGAGCCAAGGTTGCCTACCCCTGGTTTAGCCCATGCAACATGCTTAATAACAAAGCCCACCTGGCAATCATTTTTAGTCTACAGGTTTGGCAGCTACCAAACTGCCAATTCTGAAAAAAAAGGTCATTTTAGCCTTTAAAGCTTTCTCTCTTGCATTCATCTCAGGTGTTCAAAAATCCAGGTGCGAGTAACTTACTAAACTTTCCCCTTTTTGTGAATGATTTTCTGCCCACATCGGAAAGTAACATTCCGGCCTTCGGGGACCAGCCTTGTCTTCATCCTCGGAGGCGGCGGGGTGGGTATCACCGTCGGGAAAGGGAACGCTGCGATCGGAGCAAGGAAAAGCGGAACGACAGACACGTCAGCTCAGATTTAAAACCAGGGAATTAACACAGCTCTCCCTTACCAAAAAAAAAAAAAAAAAGCGATGTAAATGTGATCCAGAATAGCGATCTTTTTAGGAAACCAAATGCTAAATGGTAACATTTAGCAAATCTGCCCCAGGAGTCCCGTTTCTTTCGTAGCCTTCGTTGCTAATGGATTTCAACCGTGCAAACGGTTCGTGGTTCGTCTTTGGAATTGTTTCATTTCACACGCCGCCCTGAGCAGCCAGGCCAGATGTGACAGCAAATGATGGTGTTTTGCTATGACTGTGACAGATTGTTGTCGCTTCCTCCCCTTCCCAAATCCACTTAGAAAACAGCAGAGAGATTCCCAACTCTGGGGAAAATATTATACCAGCAGTGGCTTCCTGCTAAAATTAAGCCATCAATTTAAAGCAGTGTTTCTTAATCTTAGCAACTTTAAGAGGGGATGGACTTCAATTTCCAGAAGCTGGGGAATTCTGAGAATTGAAGCCCACCCCTCTTAAAGTTGCCAAAGTTGAGAAATATTTACGAAGAGAATCAATTGCCTTTTTTATTACACCATTTACAACAAAGTGAGTTGTGAGAATTACCCAAGCAAAAATCACAGCTGTACGGACACTGCTTTTTCATAAACCTTTGGCGTGTTCGGCAGTACCCCTTCCGACTCCACGACGGGCAGATAAACATTCGGTCTTTGCAGCCTGGGGGGGGAACAAAAAAAAGGGGGGGTTCACTTTTTAAAACAGGGGACTTCCAAGAAGAAAAAGTTCATTTTGTGCCTGAACTGATTTGACACAAAAGCGAAGTTTTTTGCGGTCCAATTTAACAAAGTGCCAGACAGACTAGTCCCAATGGCAGCTAACCTTCATTCTTCCATCATGGCTACGAGTTCAGATTTAGCTAACAGGCTGAGTTAACCTTTCTGGAGGAAAGTTGAGGATGGAGCTTAATCCTGACATCTCAAAAAATTTAGCACTTTTCTCCTACGGTAGCTTGTAAAACTGGTATACGAAACAGCCCCTTTGTGTCCTCTAAAGATATGGAGCCAACTTAAAGGGGGGGGGAATCACTTTTGTTGACGTGTTCACAAGGTAAAATACACATCTTCCTAGTCAATCTGTTCTAATTTGCTGAGGTTTTTCAAAGCAGTGAGGAACCACCGACATAGATGGCAGCGTGCGGGAGCTACAGAAAAGAAATATTTAGTATAAATGTAAAGAGAGAAGGACATTTTCAGCTGATTGGAGAGCCGTGAAAATAATTCTCCCAATTTTTTTTTTAAAACGGGCGTGGACTGCACATTTGGCACGAAGACCAGCTGGTGGTTAGTGCCAATCCAAATAGTTTGAAACACAAATAGTACAATAATATATATATATATTTCGTTCCCCTCCACCATCTCGGAGGCTGTCCTGCACCGCAGCTCGGCGCTCTGTTCCAAGCTGTAAACACCCTTCAGCTGAATTTCAGCGTTGGATTGAAAACCTATCATTTTCTCTGCCCGACGTGTTCTGGCTTTCAGAGGCCCAGAGAAGAAAGTCTGAGGGAACTCAAAGCCACTGTATGCCGAAGCCAAAGTCCTAGTTCCAAGGATTTGGATAGTGCTACCTTCATGAGGGTTTAGGATTGACCTTAAATCCATTTTAACAGGGACACACACTCCTCCTTGTGTCTTCTTGCCTCTTGCCTTTTTACAAACCTACACGGGGATTTTAAAAACCCAGCTCTCCAAATCTTAGTCCTTTCGCACAGTGGTCCCCCAAGGTGCTTTTCCAAAAAGCGGCTGTTTTTTTTTGCTTGAAGACATTTCACCTCTCGTCCAAGAAGCTTCTTCGGTTCTGACTGAATGGTGAAGGATTTATATTCCTTGCAGCCATCTGATCCTTGGCACTCTCTCTAACGTCTTCAAGGAAGAACAAAGATAGTCCAGTTGCCTTTTGGAAAAGCATCTTTGGGACCTGGATAGATAAGAATCTCCACAGACACTTTGCATAGTTGCTACTGCCTCTGTTCAGGCTTAATTGTACGGGGCAGCTACCGGCGCTCTTTTTATCAGGAAAACTGGCAAAAGAGATGATCAATAGTTCCCAAATTCTGATGCACCCACTTACCATAAAGCCGGTACAGCCCCCACATCTCATCCTGGGAGATTGTGTTCTTGCCCGTCAAGGTTGCGTTGACGTGCATCAAGGCACTGGGATCCAGGGAGTGCATAAGACCTAAGGCGTGGCCAATTTCGTGGGCAGCCACGTGAACCAGGTCTGTCAGCCAGACTCCTTAAAAAAGAAGAAAAGGAACCCAATTGACTGAATTGTAAGAGAGAGAACACCACAGCATGTTATACAAGATATTCTGGATCAATTGGGATGCTTCCGTCTTTTCCAGGGTTAATAACAGCGAAAAAAGGAACAGCAAGGATTTCAGCAGATCAGCTTTGCTGCATTGCAATATCGTGGCCTGGCTCTTCTGAATCAGTGGTGGAAAAATAATACAAGTGGTCCTTGACTTACGACAGTCCATTTAGTGACCCGAGTTTACAACGGCACTGAAAAACGTGACTTAACGACCGTTTTTCACACAACCTTTACAGCATCCTCCACAGTTACGTCATCAAAATTCAGACTCTTGGCATCCAGCTTATATTTACGACGGTTGTAGCATCCAAAGGGGGGGGGTCGTGTGATCCCCTTTTGGGACCTCCTTACAAGCAAACTAACCGTGTTAAGTCATTTAACAGCTGCAGTGATTCACTTAAGGTCGTAAAAAGGAGCAAGGCTCATTTTACAACCGTCTCACTTAGCCACAGAAAATTTGGGCTCTGGCGATCGCAAGCGTGCGTCCTTTTGTTATACCGTCGCTGCATCCAGCAACGTGCCTTCAGCTTGGTGGCCAAAGGGGGCTGTCATTTTTGCAAACTCTTTCTCCCCTCTTCTCCAAAAGGACAGGATACCCAAATGGTTGGAGAATTTGCTTTCCAAGTGGCTAAAAACTAGGGGAGCACAGCTCTTTTTATCCTGAAACACGAGACGCCAGAGGTTAGGAGATCCTTCAGGCCCCGAGCAAATCTCCTAACCCTCCTTTAATTTAAAACAGTAGCAATAAAGTGGATTCGGCTGTATTTGAATTAGATTGCTCCGTGTCTTGGATTAAAGTTCCTCTCTCATCGAGCCCAAAGGATATATTTTTTTTCATTTAAAAAAACAAATAAAAGCTTGAAACATCGAAATACAATCCTGTCTTGACCCCGAGCTGCAGCTGTTGTGAAATTTAGTAATGCAAAACTTCTCATTTGTTTTGCTCGGTCTTCCTAAATAGGCAATGCTTGCAAACGGTCTCCTGAAGTTAATTCTTGGATGTTTGGGGCACAAAAAAGGAAATAACAGATTTTCCTTGTCTTGGAGACCAGCACATCTGCCACCAGGGATTTCTGCTGTTGTCAAATTTCCGTTTCCTGGTCGGAGTAAATCCCAGGGTCCCTCATCAAAGCTTTTGAGATTAGTTTTATGAGGGAATAATTTCTGTCTCCTGTTCAGCCTAGAGGAACGGGCTGTGTGAGGTTGACAATCCTTCAGAGAGACTGTTAAAAAAAACAGCACGGTTGCAAAATAGTATTCACCATTAGGGAGGTCAGATCTCGTCTCCCAGATCTGTTCGACAAAGCCCTGATCAATCAAAATGTTTCTTACGAAAGGGGAAATTATTCCATGTTTGATGGGCAGACCCGCCGTTCACAATTCAGTTTTTCTTTCTGATTGAATTTGCATCAACCCTTGGCTCTCTGCAGCTTGAAAGAACCAGCTGCAAATTTTGGTTCTGTGTTCTTCCCAAATAGCCAGATCACAAACCGAAGAGGCTAGAAACCTCAAAGGCAGTGGAGTTTGCCTGTTGTGTCTCTACATGATGCATCTCGGCTGGGTTTCCCAATAACTCTCCTTGGGTGAAGATAATTTATAACATCAGGCAGCAACTGATCATTCAGCAACTCTTTATTTGCTATTTCAAATCCCTGTCTGCAGACACAGGCCCAGGGCAGGGACTCATACAGAGAGAGACACATCAGACAGACTCTTTAGGGAAGCTCTCTTTAAATAAAAAAACAACTTAATGGGAAAGGCTCATCACAGGCAGAGAGCCATCTGTTTAGCATCTTATGGAAGTCTTTAAAAAAAATAACAGTGGCTGCTGAGCTGCCCGCAAAGTCTGTAGAAAAAAAACCCTCACCCAGATGGAGGAAAAATGTAAACAGCCTTTTGTTTTTCTAAGGAGAAAGGGAGCGTGACAATTCAGCGCTTGCAACAGCAGCAACGGTTAAGCAAAAACTTCAGGAATATTTTCATCAGCAATGTTCCAGGAAGCCAACTCTTTTATTTGCAGGCACGGGATGGCAAAATCTGACAGGCCCCAAAAAACAGGTGGGAAAAAAACAACACCAACGCCTGTCTAATTTCCTACGAATCCACTCAGTAACTTTAACCTCGTTTTATTCTTTTGGACTCAATTTTATTCCTTTCCAGCTAATTTTAATTTTTTTAAACGATGAAGGTCCGGGGAATCCTGGGATCCAGCCTACTTACCCTTTTTCCAGCTGAACCGAGTGTCCCCTACGATCCAGTACTCGTGATCGTCAAAATGGATCTCTCCTGTCTGCGGGAAAAAGGCGTGGGCTAACTCGCCCGTGGTCCCGTCGAAACAGTGGTGGATCTGCGATTCCACGCAATCCGTATGGTTAATTGGGTAAAAACCTGGAAGGTAGTTTGTAGGGCATGGGGAAAGAGAGGTAAAATAAAAAGAGAGAGATTACTTCATACCTACAAACCAGGACCATCCTGGCTAGTATTTTTTCTCTTCTGGGCATCCCCAAGTATTGCTTTTCAACGTTAAAGTTGCCAAGGTTGAGAAACGCGGCATTAATTTAACCCAAATTGGACTAAGCACATTTCCTGTACCATCCCTTAGAAACTGGGGTGAGCCTGTGGCCTCCCAAAACTATGGGGTACATTTCCCAAACATCACCAGTCTAACTGAGCAAATGAAATTCTCACTTCTATGCTCCAGTGACCATATTTAACTGGAATTAAAGACATGCAAAATATCGGGGTGGGGTGGGGTGTTTGTCCTGGCCCCTACCTGTGAACGATTTTTAGAACGTGATCCTCGCCCTACTTCTTTCCACAAAGTTGAGCCTAAAGCAGCTCTTTGGGAACTCTTGTATTAACCCACAACCTTTTTCTCATTTCCATGTCGCGCCCGGCCAGCGCAAAGCCCCTCAAAAGCCGTATCTTTGCAACTTGTCCCCTGCAGATTCTTCGTTCCCAGCCAAACTAATGTTCTGTTTTTAATAGAACAGATAGAACGACATGATCTGGTGAGGCTAAGCTATTTCTCCCCCAAATCTGGAAGAACTACGTGTAAATCTCTCTTCGTCCCTCCGGCGACCTCGTGCTTTCCAGATGTTGCAATGTGGCCCTCTGATTTGGGGATGGAAACAAACACGGAAATGGACTGTGAGAGGCATTTTCTGCCTTAGTCATCCCCAGCAGTTGATGATCAAGTAGCTAGACATACCAAGAGGATGAACATTTTGTTAAAATCTGGCTCTCGTTAGGGAACGGAGTCTTAAGATAAGGCTTAGGAACAAGATAAGGGGGTCTTTTTCAGGCTCTCAATCAGCCATTCTTGCTTTTCTGCTTCCCATCGTCCTCCTGTATCCTTGGTAATCTTCGTTACTCCTTGTCAGGTAGTCCTCAGTTTATGACCACCATTGAGCACAGCTTTGCCTCATTTTACGACCTACCTTGCCACAGTTCTTAAGTGAATCACCGCAGTTGTTAAAGTTTGTCACACGGCTGTTTAGTGGATCTGGCTTCCCCAGGGACTTTTCTCGTCAGAAGATTGGGAAACGTGATCCCCTGACACTCCACCCCACCCCAGACACTGTAACCGTCGTAAATACGAGCCGGTTGCCGAGCCTCTGAATTTCACAAATGCAGAACTTTTAAGGGAAAGCACGGAGTAAAATGCATATTATTAAGGGAAAGGCACAAAGGACGTTTAAGTAGGATTCAGGTGTTGTATTTATTTATTTTAGAAAGTGTGAAAAACAACCTTAAGTCACTTTTCTTTCAGTGCCATCATAACTTCGACTAGTCCAGGGGTAGGCAACCTTGGCTCTTTTATGACTCGTGGACTTCAACTCCCAGAATTCCTGAGCCAGCATGGCTGGCTCAGGAATTCTGGGAGTTGAAGTCCACGAGTCATAAAAGAGCCAAGGTTGCCTACCCCTGGACTAGTCCCTAAACGAATGGCTGTAAACTTGAGGGCCCCCATATATACAATACACTAATTTAAGGATGCTTCTCCATCAGAACCGTGAAGGGACCTACCAATTGTGAGGTCGCTTGGGGAACTCACTGACACTTCACGGAAGGTGAACGAGGAGACATCGCTCCACATTCGGAAAGCTGCGGTCAGTCCCTTCCTGGTCTGGCTTTGGCCAATCAAGTTTCTGGGGAAAGACAGAATTCTGCAGGGGAAGACAAAAGTAAACCAAGAGGTCAGTTCGCAACAGATTCCCCTGGTTTGACTTCGGCTGAGGACCAACCACGAATTTGGGGTGAAGCTCTAAAAAGTTAAAACCAGGACAGGAAATGGACCAGGGCTCACTTTGGGTCCATTTAATCAGAATCAGAATAACAGCATTGGAAGGGACCTTGGAGGTCTTCTAGTCCAGCCCCCTGCTCAAGCAGGAGGACCTGTACCATCCTAGACAGATGGCTGTCCAGTCTCTTCTTAAAAGCCTCCAGTGTTGGAGCATCCACAACTTCTGGAGGCAAGTCGTTCCACTGATTAATTGTTGTAACCGTCCTTGTGTGTCTGAGGACACTTGGCCAAATAAAGTATTGTATTGCAGTAGAAATGACGCACTTCCCTTACCTGTTTGTCTTCCCTAATGGATCTCAAGCTCAGAAGGACCCACAAAATTATGGCACTGCACAAGCAGACCCCAGGCTTGTAAACCAGGAGGTTAGCTTTGAACTGTTTGTCTTTAATTGGGACAATCCTTATGTCATGTGTCTGAGTAACGAAACACTTAAAAGGACTTTCAGGCATGTTTTCTCCTAAAAGCTCTTGTTTTTCTTCTCTCTCTCTCTCTCAGCATCCATGGAGACCACAGATGGAGCAGAGAAGCAGCCAAGTCTACATATAAGCATCTTTCTCGGATTAAGGCTTGGTATATAAAAATACAGGTATTTGTATATTTGTAAAGCAAAACATATCAAGCTTCAAGACGACAGAGAGGTTTTTTTTTTCCCCCTCAGCCAAATATGAGCTAAAAGCCTTTTGAAGAAAAAACACAAGCCATGCATGAGGTTTGCTGTGGCCAGTGTGGTCTCATCTGCCAATCTTGACTTTGGCATGGTTTAGCCTGGCAAGCTTTCCAGGGAGGGAAAAAAAAATCCCTTTTTTTTTTTGCTTGGCAGTTTCTTGCCAGCCATCACAAAAGAGACAATGTTGTCATACTGTTCCTGGAGCTTTAGAAGACTGAAATGCCAACAATTATGTTGCCCTCAGCCATTTCTGCGTCAGCTAAAAGTTGTTGCTTTGTTCCAAGCATGGGGGGGGGGGGGGAAGAGGAATGATTGTCTGCACAGAGGTTGGATTTCATATCCTCAATTTGCAATTTGCAAGTGGGCGAGCATAAATTTCAAAAAAAGAGGAAAAAAAGAGATTTCAACGTCCATCAAAGCTTAGCCCATTATAATTCCAAACGGGACTAAATTTTTCCCTTTGAATCTGCGATCTCTCCATGGAAAGGAATCTTTGTCCTTCCAGAGATTGCAAGGGGAAAAAAAAACCGGTGTTGGGTCCAAATTTTTATCCAGACATCTCTTTTCTTGGCATCTCCCGAAGCAAAATTCATTTTTCAGAGTTGTGCAACACCGTTTTCAGGGTGTGTTTTTTTAAAATTTAAAAATGACACAAATGCAGAAATTTTAAGGGAAAGCACGGAGTAAAATGCATATTATTAAGGGAAAGGCACAAAGGACGTTTAAGTAGGATTCAGGTGTTGCATTTATTTATTTTAGAAAGTGTGGAACAAAGTAATAGTGTTCCATTTCTAGGCTGATGTACAAATACAAGAAAATAAGAGATGGGGTGAAAGATTTATGAGACGTATTTCATGGCGTCAAATGAACTGTTCAAAAGAAATTTTAAAAAATCCAGACTTTTGGAGACTTTAACACTCAATTTGGGTGTCTGCATAAGATTTCTGTCAAGAAAACAATGGTCTGATTTATAACCCTTTGTTTAATGAACAGATATAATGTCCATTAGTTTCTGATTTGGAAATTGGACCCTAAAAATGAAGTATAATTCTTAACACGAGGGAAGAAATGTTAAATCTGTGGGTAGCGATTGTCTTAACTGTATTGACTTGAGTGAAGCTGGAATCTAAATTACATTTTTTTTTCATTCTAACTCCACTCCAACTCTGTTCATTTTTGTAAGAGGGTGTCCATCATCATAGTCAACAACCTGAAAAAAATTACACATCCTTGGTTTAAATTCGGGTGACTGCCATACGACAGTACTTCCCTTGACTCAGGGGGAAAAAAACCCACTAAAAATTTAATTCTGGTTGCTTCCTCTTCACTATTCTTGATTAGTATTGGCTCATGATTGGAAATATTCTTCTTAGCATGAATAGAAACCGACTCTGTTAACAGAACAACCTGTGATTGTGTCCAATTTAGCACTGGGAGAAAGAAAATGTTCTTACTTGTACGTTAGGTTGAAATGATCCCATTTGAGTCGTCCTGGGGTCAACGTGTAACGTTTTTTCCGCAGGTGAGGAGGTGGCAATGAAAAGGGAAGCTTTTGAAGACCCAGGTGGGCTCCAAGGGTTGGACCAGGTATAGCCGTGTCTTCCTTAAAGACAGAGGAACAAGTCAGAAGCTCTGGAGCAGAATCCTATTACAGAGAGCATCTTGAGAGCATTTCCAGACCAAGTCAGTTTCTCAGCATTTCCCCTACCCATTTTGCAGTAGCTGTTTTTCTGGAAAAATCATTTTCTCTCTCGGTTCTCCCTCTAAACTAATTTAAACCAATTTTATCTTAACACCCTTCAGATATGATGGATCTTAGCTTCCTTCCTTCAATCTGCTTATGCCAGAAACGATGGATGTCAGGATGACACCAGATTGTCTACTTGAACCTTACAAAATCAGACAGGAGCCTGGAAGCCCAGGATATTTTCCAGGAAGAAACAAGCTTTTCCAAGTTACTAGCTCCTGGGGTGTATTTCTCGGAATTCAATTGCCACTGAATGTGGTGTTTCCATTTAGCAATTATGGATATTAGCCGTTTATTGTCTTTCCAAGATTCACTCCGCCTGGTAGCCTCCCCTACATTTTTGGAAGGAGATTATTTTAGTCATCTGTTGTACACGAAAGCATTTTCGCACCTTCTCTCAATCAGAACATTTGTGCAAGAAAAGGAGTTTTCTGCTCTATGCAAAAATATGTGGTTTGGGGGAACGGGGCCAAGGTCAGAAAAACTCAAGGGAAGACGAGACAAAACATGCAAAATAAGTCCAAAAAACCCCCCCTTTAGAAATGGAATGAAAACCACAGCCGATCAGTTCGCTCCCTTCTGCCCTGAAGGCGAAGCGAAAGGGGTAAACAGTAAAAACTGAAATCTGACTTGAGCAGGAAAAAAAAGTCATCTTGAATTTCGCTGCATGAATTCCAGAGTTGCTAGAAAACCCCAAGATTTCTCTTTACGGAAAGGCCTTGTTGGTTTATTTTTATTTATTTTTTTAGAGCTGGAACCAGGAAAAATATTGGCCCAGCTGATGTATGACACTTAAAAAGACCTTTTATGTCGCTGATCTTCACTGTTTCCGGACCCAAATAATCACAGGGGAGGCCTGCCATATGACATGAGCTGTTGAAGGTGAGCCATTTATAGATTTTGGGGAGGAAAGGCTCACCCATCAGAAGAAAAGAAGAAGAAAAAATAGGTTCAAGAGATTAAAACTTTTGAGTGATAGCTGCTGGTAACCACGTCTCCAGCTTCACCCTAGCTTTGGTTCTCTCTCTCTCTCTCTCTCTCTCTCTCTCTCTCTCTCTCACACACACACACACACACACACACACACAAAAACACATTTTAAATGCCATCCTCCTTGCAAACAATCTTGTTTTAAAAGAAAAGGAGATAGCGTAAAAAGCCTGAATGGAAATTAATTTCTTTCACAGCAGGCCTCCTGTGAAGAAATGGGATAAAGTTACAACAGGCCAGGATTGTTTCCTTGACGTACTTTCTGACACGCCTCCCGTTGGGATAGTCTCATTGAAACAGCCAAACAGTTGCTGCCTCTTTTGCTATTGGGTGGTACCTAATTTGCTCTTTGACTGCTGGGGGGGGGAGGGGGGGCTATTAGGTCCCGCACACCCCAGCTCCTCTCTGCGGGGGGAAAAAAAACATGGAAGTTATAAAATCTGCTTCCCAGGTCCCAAGAGCTGATCCACAGGACTCCGGGACGCATCCCTGGTCATAAGTATGAGTCCTTCGCCAAGCGTCCAAAATTTTGATCACGTGGCCACGAGGATGCCACGACGGTCATGTGAAAAACGATTCTTAAGTCAAACAAAATCAGGTGGGACTCACTTCACAGTTGCCCTGCTTAGCAACAGAAAAACTGGCTTCCAAGTAGAGTCCGCGAGGAGAAGGGCGGGATATAAATCCAAATATAATAATAATAATAAAAAAAAAGAGTTGTAAGTCAAGGACTGCCTGGGCTTGTGTTGTGGGCATTATTTTTATTTTTTTTTAAACGGGGCAGCTGAAACTCGGTAGGATGATAATGAGCCAATCAAGGAAACCTGCCACCCATGAACCAGGGGGAAGTTGTGTGAGATCACAATTTTGACAGTTCTCCTCCTCCTCCTCCTGAGAAATTCTTTGGAATTTATGCCCGGCCCTTCAGAGAAACCCAGAATCCAAACAATCCTGAATTCAGGTCCTTATCTAGCTTGGGAGGATCATGGGACTTGCACAGCCTGCTCTTCCCTGCCAAATACTCGCTCCAGAAGTACAAAATCCAAATTTTCTGGGCTGGAAAGCTGAAATTGCTCTTTCTCCCCCCCCTTTCCCTGATCAGACATGGAGGTTTTCAGAGAAAAGCCAAGGATTTCGTCCGCCGGTTCCTGTCGGCAAAGATGCCCCTGGAGCCGGTTTGGCGTGTACTCTTTGAGGCGCCTCAAACTCTAGCCCTGCGGAGGCAATTCCCCAATATTTTCAATTTTGCTCATCTCAGCAAAAGGGAAGGGGAAAAAAAAAAAACCAACCCAGGGCTGGATGAGTCACTGCTTAAGAAACGAAGAATTCGCTTTCTTTGGTAGTCACCCAACTTCTCCATGGCTTTCCTCCATGCCAACTTTTTCTCCTTGGATTTGCTTTTTTCCTCCAGTTGCGGCAGGACTAACGTCTGCGCTGCTGGCCCCGGCGAAGCCTCTTAAATTTTAATTTGGGACAGCTTTGCCGGCGTGTGGAAGAGATTCAGAGGGTCAGGAAGAAGCGAGAATGTCAGAAAGAGATCTGCCAGCTCCGGAAGAGCCACGCTGATAGGGATCGAAGCAAGGGCGATGTTCTTTCAATTGATCCAGTTTCTGGGATCCTTTATCCCAGAGCTGGGTGGATGAGAGATTCTCTGGGGGGGAGGGGAAATCCCAATGGCTGTTTTGCAAATCTCACTCTGTGCAAAACCACCGCGGGGACTCAAAAGAGAGGAATCATTTTACCACCAGATGTTGTGAGTTTGCTAGCATCCTTCAGCGCTGCCTAAGGCCACATCTGCTAAAAAATTCTCCCGCGGCTAGAGAAAGAAACACATTAGTTTCAAAGCACAGTTAGTGCCTTCAGAAATGAGACCTCGGGCTCAGCTTCCCCCCCTGCCTGTTTGAAGGGACAAGGCCTGACAGAAGGGAAGGGAAGGATGGCTGTGCATTCTAGGCCGAGGGCCAAAGAGTTAAGTTAAGAATGAGATACAAAGGTAAGCCAAAAACTATTCACTAAACTTGTGGCTGCAAGTTTGATAATGAAAGGGAGCAGAGATATTCAGAGAGACAGACAGGCTGGAGGCAATTTCAGATGTTGGGTTTCTTGACAAAAATGCAGCTCCTGATAGATAGATGGATGGATGGATGGATGGATGGATAGATAGATAGATAGATAGATAGATAGATAGATAGATAGATAGATAGATAGATGGATAGATGGATGGATGGATGGATGGATGGATGGATGGATGGATGGATGGATGGATAGATGATAGATTAGATAGATAGATAGATAGATAGATAGATAGATAGATAGATAGATAGATAGATAGATAGATGAGATAGATGATAGATAGATGATAGATAGATGACAGATTAGATAGATAGATGATAGATGAGATAGATGATAGATAGATGATAGATTAGATAGATAGATAGATAGATAGATAGATAGATAGATAGATAGATAGATAGATAGATAGATAGATAGATAATAGACAAACAAACAAATATGTAGACATGTATCATTGTGATGCCTTGTTGCTAGGATGGAAAGTGCCTTGGGAAACAACAGTACTCTAAAATGTTGGACTTCAGTTCCCATCATAACAGAATAACAGTTGTAAGGGACATTTGAAGGTCCTCTAGTCCAACCCCCTGCCCATCCAGGAAACCCTGTACCATTTCAGACAAATGGCTGTCCAGTCTCTTCTTAAAAGCCTCCAGTTCTTTTCATGCAGGACCAGCATCCCACCCCAGGTTCAAAACAGGATGAGGTCCCCAACAGTCCATCCAGCGTGCATAAAGGTAGCATTTGTTCTTGTAGCAGAAAAGAAAACGGCCATGCAGCAGTCAAATCCCATCCTGAGGGATTTGCTGCCTTGCTCTACTTTAAGTCTACCTTGCCAGACTGTTGTGAGGGTATCAGGAGGGCCTCCCACAGAACCCCTTGGGAGAGAAGCGAGCAGGATAAATCAAAACAGTCATATTTTGTCGGGAGAAATATCAGAGGCTTACCTGGATCTTCTGCACTTTTGTGGCAAACGAGTCCTCCAAAACCAGCAGAAGGATTAAAAGCAGGAAAATGCCGGTGGAATTCCCAGGGCCTGAATATTTATGTTTTTTCTGCCTGCCAGCAGGCCATAAAAAAGGAGAAACACTCGCAGAAAGACTTTTGAACTGCCCCATGGCTGCATTCAATTAAAACCGAACAGCGAAAGAGAACACTGGGGAGGAAATTCAACCCAAAGACATCCAGTTTGCAAGGCAGACTTTTAAGTACTGAAAAGGAGGCAAAATGTTTCCTGGATTGAAATGCTGAGAACTTTTCTGGGGAGATTTAAAGAAAAGAAAAGAAGAAGGAAAAAAGATGCAAATTTTGGCAAGGTTTGACAGGCTGAGCCAGCCCTGAGCCAAATCCACCCGGATCACTGGGAATCTCTGCTTGTGGAAGAAGGGAATGGAGAAGGAAAGAGGGGAAACAGCTGGAAAGGGAAAGGAAGGAGAGCTAAGCCAGCTGTTTCAGCATCTGGACGAGGGCGGCCCTAGATCCCTCTGCGTGCACACACACATACACACACACACATACAGGAGAAGGAGGAGGAAAATGATAGACTTCCAATCGCTCGATTCTGAACGCACATGGGCAGTCCCTGAAACTTTTTATCGATGGGATCTGGTCCACAGTCAGGGATCCACCCACGAGGATCTGACCTGCAAGAGAGGGATTTTGCATGGGCCTTCCCCCCGTGGGCGTCTTTTGGTGCCCACCTTCTGTTCCTGCCATTATTTGGCCCTGTTTGCAATGTTTAATTTCATTTTTTTGGTCTTCGTATCCTCCTTTGGGGAATTTATTTCACAAATAGCCTTGCCCAGCATCACTTTTTTTGACATAGGAAACTCAGCTCAGTAGTCAAAATTCTCTAGCAGCTTAGCCTACCTCACAGGGCTGTTGGGAAAGTCGAGGACTCGAAT